CCCTACCATTATTTGGTGGGTGAATATTTTTCCCTTTCCCTGCCATTGTTTAGTGGGCTTTTGAGAATTTGGAGCTTTCACCAAAAGTCTATAGATACCCCGTGTAGAGCTTCTAGGGCAACTGGTAAGAAGCCTTATCCTGATGGACTTCAGGGCTTTTTCTAATGCAGCATTGGGTTTGTCTCCTTTTCTTTCTTCCCTCTGCAAGATATAACTAATTCATTGTGACAATCACTAAGATCTTCGCTCGTTACCATGAAAGCTGTCAGAGCGTTGCAGAGTTCAGGACTCTCTTGTCCTGAAAAACGGCGTTCATCAAAATGCCGTGCTGCAAGTTGGCTGCAAAAATACTTCAGGTAATTTTCTGTTACCACCCTACATACGGCAGTGTTGGAGCCAACGGGAAGTACATGCAGCTCCTACCGGATTCAAAGCTCTGTTGATCAAATCAGCTCTTCAAAATGCAGCGTCCAAACCCTGAGCAGCAGCGCCTGGTTCCACCAGGCACCACGAACACGCAGCGCCAGCGCAGCTCGACTGCCGTCGACTTTCCTGGCATGGAGAAATGTCACCGTAGGAGTAGTGTGGCTACTCTTTCCTACCAACGCTTCTGGCAAAAAAAAAAAAAAGAAAATACAGTTAGAAACCACTGCTGTAAAGGAGAATAATTTGTGGTTATTACAGTAACTCCTTGTGAGGTGTTCCAGCTATTGAGTTCAGAACATTTCGGAGGATGCTTGGTTTTTTGCCAAGCAGGTTGACCCCCATCTGGTCCTTTGTTCTGGGAGGGTGGAAAAATTTTATATAAAAACTTTTTTTTTCCCCTCTTGGGCTCTGCACTCAACACAGCTCCAGTGGAGCCAATGATCAGGACTCCCATCTTTCAACCGTGCTTGTCCAGAGTGCTGGCAAGCTCGTTTGCACCAAGTGTTTTGTAAATGAACAGTGTCTGGAAATTGGTTTTAAAATATATAACATTTAAGGCTCTATAAATATATCAGCAGGTCTTTTACAAGGTGCTGTTGAAGCTTTAATGCTACTGGGACAAAATCATTGCACAGTCGTTAATGGTGAATGTCACTGAGAAAGTTAGATTCATGATTCTCAAATACATATTTTTTTTTAATCTCAAGGAACCTAAATAATATATAGGAGAACAAAGTTCTGATTCTTCCACCACTCTCTGCTTTCTCCTCTCTCCCTCAGGCTTTATGAGAAACATGAGATGTGGGTATAAAACTCAGGCACTATATTCACTTCAAGATTTCAGAGAGTCGGAAAGTGTATTTTCTAGTGCACCCAATAATCCTACTGAGAAGTTAACTGAAAAAGGATCTGTGGTAGTTCTAGTGCAAAATATGTGGCATTTTGTAAATGGATATGAGCAGTATGGGAGGAGGTGAATGCAGCTTGGTAACATAAAGCAAGGGCGAGGTGGGATGTCGATGCAGGACAGCACCCAACACAAGGTGTTTACACGTTTCTGTTCTCCCAGGAACGACACAGAGACGGCTTACGTCATCGATGAACATTTTGTGCTGGGTTTTTATAGCAAATTTCCTGGTGCAATTTAAAGTCAAAGAGAAAAGCTCACCTGCTCTTGGGAGTACTGAGCCTTTTGGTAGCAGGATTTACCCGTAGTACTTCACAAAGGAGAGCAAACTTTATACGGAATATTAAGCAAGATTACCTTTGAGAAGATACCACTTGAGCTTAAGATGCAAGTCAGAAAGAGTCTATATCATTAGTTACAAAGCTATACTCAGCTCTCAGCATCTGACATAGAAACATTGACTTCATTGTCTACATGGATTTGGTTACTGTAATCACGAGCAGCAAAAAAATCCTGTTTAAAAAGTCCATGATTTCCTTTTTGTAGGATCTTTTCTATTCATCCCAACTCATTGATAATTTTGGGTACAGATCCTTTACAAACCTGGAAGATCAGAGTCATTTTAACAGTCTCTGCTGAACGGAGGATGGAACCTCCAAAACGTTGAATGACCTTCCCCATGTGTGCAGACTGCTGGTTTCCTCTCCTCAGATAATGGTTTTGCCTGTGAATCAGATGTGCTTTGGGTTCAAAACACTTCAGTTGGTGAAGAAGCTGATGCCCAAAGTGCAGATTGCAAAATTGGAAAGATCTAGAGGTGTTGGGAGATGAACGTCTTGGTGAACCTTCATTTAGGAGTTGTAAAAATTAAGACAGGCTGACCTCAGAGTGAGAGATTAATATCAAAATGATAGAGAACTGCCAATAATGTGTTTATTAAAACTTATCAGAAAGATACTGATTAGCATCAAATAACACCAGACTTTGTGAAAGAGATAATTTTTAAAAAGAGGACTAGCTATTTTATCTGTGGGATCTCATAGTTGTGTACGTCGTAGCTAGAATACGTATTTTGTAAGAATTTAAATTGTGTATGTGTGGGACTACCTAGTATGAAATTAATGTATCATAAGAAAGGTGCTGCTGCTGTGTCTTTTTTCTTCTTTAGCAATATCTGATGATGCTTTAAAACACTGTAGTAACTTGGCTGTACATTATAGCTGTGTGTCTGACCTTTCAAATAAATGCTCTTTCTTTTTCTCCTTCTCTCAGAGAGGAAGATCCCTGATGAAGATTTCATCATATTAATTGATGGTTTAAATGAGGCTGAATTTCACAAGCCGGATTACGGAGACACCATAGTATCATTCCTGAGCAAAATGATTGGAAAATTCCCTTCCTGGCTGAAGCTGGTAGTGACGGTCAGGACAAGTCTACAGGTACGCTGAGACCAAGAATTGTGATAAACTATGTCATTGTCACGATGGGCTTTGATAAAGAAGATCTTAGTGGACATCTGGATTTGCCTAAGGCCCTTTATTTCGGGTTATTCTTTTTGCTTTTTTCTACTTGGATTTACATTGATCTCCCCAAACTCACTGCAGTGTTGCAGCGATCTAATCCAGCATCACCTACTCGTGTCAATAAATGCTCATCAGCAAATAGTGTAGTCCATTTGAGTGAGACAGCTCGCAAGCCAAGGGGCCACTTACTCACCAAGCGTACGAGAGGGTAGGGCCTGATGTCCGTCAGCCTGTGCTGCTTGAGAACATCTCCCCCTCCATGTGGAAGGGTGAAGGAGTGCAGATCTTCAATCTTCATACTCCTTCTGTGCTGTCTAGAGTGTGAGAGTGTGATCGTTTCAGTCTGGAGGAGTCAATGTCAGAGCAAGACACTACTCAACTCAGTGAAGAGTATCTTGAGCAGCTGCTGAAGCTCTGAGCTGAATGTTGTTTGGGTTATTGTTAAGTATTTTTATTTTAATTTACAGCTGGGCAGGTTCTTACCTTCAGCCTGTCCTTAGCTACTCATCACCACTCTCTTGGCATAAGGATTAAGCTGACCTCAGTTTGTTGGCTCAACTGCTCATCTGAACGGAACAAGCTGTGACCAAACACAGGGACCCAGTTAGGAGAGATCTGCCCTTTCAACTGTTTCACAGCAGAACTGGTTGATTTGCAGCATTTGAGGGTTCTGAGGCACTGGACCAGGTTGCCCAGAGAAGCTGTGGCTGCCCCATCCCTGGAAGTGTTCAAGGCCAGGTTGGATGGGGCTTTGAGCAAATTGGTGTAGTGGAGGGTGTCCCTGCCCATGGCAGAGGGGTTGGAACTGGGTGATCTTTGAGGTCCCTTCCAACCCAAACCATTCTGTGATTCTGTGATCACTTGTGGGAACATTCACACCGAGTGTCGGAGCCAGGAGCCCAGAGGAGACAGATGTCGGAGGGACGGGACACGCGTTTGGGAGCCAGCTCAGAGCTGCTCTTCAACTGAACCAGCTGCTCCGGGCAGGAAGTCATGTCTGCAGCTCTACCTTTCTCATTTTTTCATCGTTAGCCGTTTTTTCATTAGCGCAGAGCTGCGCAGTTCGTTTTTACTGAGCTCCATTAAGCGGTTTTATTGAGATTTGCTAATATTTACTGAGATCTGCAGGTTGCTTTGCTGTGGTCCTCCTGGCAGGGCGCTGAGCTGGTTCCAGCTCCACCGAGGGCAGCCAGCTGCTGCACGCTGCCGTGGTGGCTGGGAACGGCAGCTGCTCCCCAGGACACCAGGAGAGCACAGGCTATCTGCTGCTTTGTGCTGCAGTTCCTTTTTTTGCTCGGTAATGGAGTAGATTAAACATCACTTGGACGGGGTCTTTTTGTAATTGTAGGTAAATTGCATCCCTGTGACTTGGATTCCTCATTTAATTCGGGCTTTCGCAGCCCTGCGGTTTTCACTGCAAGCTTTCGTTTTGCGCTGTGCTCACCCTCTCGATGTTTTTGGAGAATTGATGGCTTCTCCTGCAGCTGCCGTGTCCAGCTCCATTGCATCATTTCTCCCTGCGTCGCAGCGACTGAGAGCCCATGACGCAAGAATTCCTTTGGAAAGGCTCTTGATGATCTTTGCTTTGTGTTGCATGAGCATCATCAGTGAGCTCAGCAGACGAGAGTCCCTGGCCACAGTGTCCTGCAGCAGACAGACGTGTTTATTTTGCACTGGAAAATACTCACTATTATCTGTCCCGATGTTTCCGTGCGTTTCCCTGTTCATAGCAGCTGTGTGATCCAGGAGCACGCTCCTGGGGAACTCCTTAGCTCAGCTGCAGCAAAATTTCTTCTGGCTTCAGATCTGTCATCTGGTTGGGGTAGGGTAGGCGTAACGAGAGCACTGCTCTGTGTGAATTTTCCAGCCCTTTCCATGGATGCAGTGTTAGGAACAGCGTCCTTCATTTTTATTTCAGTTATGTTTCGCACGCAACCTGCTTGATTATAGATGAGATGGGGAGGTCCTGAGGGCACAAACTGCCACCTCGTGTGCTCTCCCTGATGGAAGAGGTCTTAAAGGAGTCTCAAAGGTGCTATTGTAATATAAATTAAGTTTACTTAATGAATAATAAACACTGCCAGCTTGAGTATCCTTTTTCTTTCTTTCTTTCTTTGCAGGAAATAATTAAGCTGTTGCCCTTCCACAGAATATTTTTGGATAGACTGGAAGAGAACGAAGCCATAGACCAGGACCTGCAGGCGTATATCCTTCATCGGATACACAGCAGCTCGGAGATCCAGAACAACATCTCGCTCAACGGCAAAATGGACAACACGACGTTCGGCAAACTCAGTTCTCACCTCAAGACCTTGAGCCAAGGGTCCTACCTGTACCTAAAACTCACTTTTGATCTCATAGAGAAAGGATACCTAGTACTAAAAAGCTCCAGCTACAAAGTAGTCCCAGTGTCTCTGTCAGAAGTTTACCTGTTGCAGTGCAATATGAAGTTCCCAACGCAGTCTTCCTTTGATCGGGTCATGCCTCTCTTGAATGTGGCAGTGGCATCTCTGCATCCATTAACAGATGAACATATTTTTCAGGCCATCAATGCAGGTAACATTGAGGGCACTTTGGAGTGGGATGACTTTCAGCAGAGGATGGAGAACCTTTCTATGTTTCTTATCAAACGTAGAGATATGACACGAATGTTTGTTCATCCCTCTTTCCGAGAATGGCTTATTTGGAGAGAAGAAGGTGAAAAGACCAAGTTTCTCTGTGACCCTAGGTAAGCAAACGCTCTGAGAAATCAGAGCGTACAAATGTGTTCCTCTCGTACTGTTAGCTGAATCATTTCATTTTATGAGGTTGCACATGGATGCGTCTTACCCGACTTTGTGCTCCGTAGATCTCTACGTCTGTACTAGTCACCTTAGATCTTTATGTTGTTCCTGGAAAGAAATAAGCACCCTCTGGGCACACAACTGATCCAAGAAACCTAATAGTTGTCTTCAGAATGAAATCAGCTGTTTCTCGGAAGGCCCCGTGTTGACCAGCTCCTGTGCAGGCATCACCGGGGATGTCTGCGTTTCGGCAGGTTGCTCCTGCCAGCTCAGTCTGGAGGAGGGGAACCATCCTCCTTTTCTCCAATGATGCCAAAACCACATGAAGTAGAGGATAAGGAGGTGAAGGATGAACAGCGTGGATACGTCCTTTGTAGTTGGCTTCTTTTTGAAGTTGTGTTCCTTGTAGTCCTACTAAATGTCTTTTAAAAAGCAAAATAAGGAACAGAATCAGACTAGCAATTTTGGACAGTAAATGCATCTGTAATCTCCATCCTGATAGCAGCTGAGTTTCCTGGCTTAGCTCATGGAACAGAATTTAATCATGGTTAGATTTATATTCTCTAAACTCAGTGATGGCTGTTAACAACGTTATCTTTGTTTCTACTGAAGAGTGGAAACAGACACTCTGACTGTAATTCCAGTAGTTTATCCTCATAAGCTTTGCTCCATTTGGCCTGCCCGTTTCTTAAAATATGATTATAAAAATGAGAAACACTCAGATTCAAGGTCCTGTCAGTGCGTCTCCCAGATGGTGTGGTCAGTCTGAAGAAAATACGATGGTATCTGCTGGGACTGCGTACCCACCTGGCTGATGGAAGCAGCTATAGCTGTTAGAGTGTCGGAGTAATTTACCACTTGAAGTTTTGTGGTAAACAGGCTGCAGTAGCAAAATACTATATGGCTCCTCCCAACGGGCATCTTCTCTGTTTTAGTAGGTTCTGCACAACGGTCCTGTCAAGCCAACCCTTTGCAAAGCACCTGGCAGCAGCAGGTGGCTTCGTGTCCACCACTGTTAGTTATTGAATACCCTTCCTCGGAGTCGTTAAGCGCGTGTCACTGCGAAACGCTTCTCCACCCTCTTTGCAATGCCCATGCGGCACTTATCCCTACGGAGCTGAGGGTTTGCTCCCTCCCAGTCACTCCCACCCAGCGCTACGGGTTTTGGCTGGCCCCTGTGGTTCTGGCTGCCCTGGCTGTAGGAGAGCTCGTTGTACGCTGGGCAAGGGACAGGCAGCCAGCACGCCTGGCGTGTACTGCTAATCACACGGCACGTGCCGTAACGAACCATAATGAGAGCAACTTGGAAAAATCCCTGCTTTCCTTTGTTACCATGAAAGGGAAATGAAGGTGCAGGGTGCTTGCGTGGTGGGCGAGACGCCTGCGCGCGGTGGGTGCTGCGTGCGGGAGGGATGTCGGTCCCTGGGTAGCGCGGGGGTGTCGGTCCTCTGGGTCCTGAAATACTCCTCCCCGTTCTCGCAGAGATGGGGCAGGGCGTTCTCAGAATACCAGATTCGGGATGAAACTGGAATGTGCTGCGTTTTCAGGTGGTTTGGTGACCAGATGTGAGCACAAAGGCACAGATCGGCCCGTACGCGCTCGAGCGGGAGGGATGTCGGTCCCTGGGTAGCGCGGGGGTGTCGGTCCTCTGGGTCCTGAAATACTCCTCCCCGTTCTCGCAGAGATGGGGCAGGGCGTTCTCAGAATACCAGATTCGGGATGAAACTGGAATGTGCTGCGTTTTCAGGTGGTTTGGTGACCAGATGTGAGCACAAAGGCACAGATCGGCCCGTACGCGCTCGACAAGTCACTGGCGACGTGGCGGGTCTCTGCTGGGGGTTCAGGTTTGGTGCTGCCTTTCGTGAGCATCACGAGGGCGTTGCGCAGCCCTCGAGACCGTTCAGGAGACTTTCAGGCATCGCTTTTCATCCCGAATATGCCATTTCACATGATAAACTAACGGAGGCTTCAAAGCGTGTGGAGGACGTTCATGCTCTTTGCAAGTAGGGAATCCCTGAAGATCTGACCCGACTCAGCTCCTCACCACTGCTGAAGAAGTTACAGTGCATGTAACGGGCTCCCACTGCCTTGAGTGTGAGTCCATACGTACTGGAGGACTAATAAATATCTCTAATGTATAATGGACACTAATTGCATTATACTCTGATGGTAGATAATGAAACAGGATACATTTCAGCGATTAATAGAGAGGACCCCTGAGATTCAGCTATTGTGCTCCTCAAAATCCTCCTGTCCAGCGCTTGGGGAGGAGCTAATACTGAGATGTTGAGCTCAGAGCATGGTAAACCCTTAGCAACAATTAAGATAAGTAATGATTTTTCATTTTATTTCTTCTAAAAGAAGCGCAGCTTGTCACTGCCAGAGCTCGTAGGAGTAGCCTGTGAAAATCTGCCCGCGTCTCGTGTGTTCCCCACCAGTTTGATTTCCTTCTGCTCGCTTGGGAATGGAGAAGACGTGGCAACTGCGTAGACCGTTCCCGAAGTTCTTCGGTGCTGCAGAAACGCGCCGTTAACGTGAAGCTTGTTGACCTCGCCGTGTCGATACATAGTCAGATTGCTGAGGATGATTTTTTTTTTCCCCGAGTGAAGAGCTTGGAAGTGAAACGTGGTTTTGCAGATCTGCTTTTAATGGACTGACCCTGACAGAGCGTCCAGGTGCGAGGACATGACGAAGGAAATCAGGATAATGGGCCTCGTGTCCGTGGCACTGCAGCTGGGGTAATCTTCCTCGTTTCATTAATGAGAGTGAGTTCCCGTGTTCTTGGAAGCACAAAAGAGAGGGGAGAGGAAGAACGCAATGTCAGGAAATTATCACGTTTTTCTACGTTTTTAAGATAAACAGCAAATCTCCAGCCTCCAGATTTTTAAGTTGGCTCATTGAGATGCCAACGCTCCTCTCCGAGCACTCTCCGTGCGTTCGCTGTCCAAAGCAAAGGCCAGTTGACGTCGAAGGGGAAGGCGGGGGCTGCAGGCTGTCCCGCGGGGGAACCCCCCTGGTGTCCACTGTTGGTTCGTAACAAGGCACCAAAACCACGTTTGTCAGAGCGTTTAACCCGCATTGCAGTAATGGCCTCCCCAGCCTGTCACTGCGACGCTGTTAAGCAAGTGTCTTAGTTGACAAAAAACATAAAACGTTTTAGGGAAAGCCTCAATCCTTTGTGACTGGTGCACGGAGAAAGTGGTTATTATTGCACGTTCACTCTTACGCTTGTATTTCTTAACCTAAATTCAGCTGTAATGCTGTGCTGTTCTCTGCCTAGACTTAATCAGAAACTTCCATGCAATTATTTTCCGTGGTTTTCAACGCTAATAAAATGTTTTAGCTCTGTGCTGCCGCTGAAGGGGCTGCGAGAGAGACAGAAATGAAGTGATTTGCCCTGGCAAGGCAATAAGAGAGCTGTAGGCAGAGAGGGACCCCAGAAGTGAAATTACTTTATCCAGATTTAAGTATCAACATCTGAGTTGCTTGTCTAGACTTGCTTTATAGTCAGAGGAGAGAAATAAGAATGATTCATTTCAGCATGAGCTAAAAGGCTAAAACAGGTCAGATGAAGAGTGCCTGGGAAGCATCTCCTCCTTTTGATTTTTGAAGGGAGCTCGTGGCGACGGGCTCACCAGGAGATGTCTTCAGTATTGACAAATAAAACTGGATGAGATGAATCTGGCTGCTCTTCTAACCAATACATAGGGTTTTGAGACAGATTCACAGGTTTTCTTTTCTTGTACAGGAAAACTAAGGAAGGAAAAAGATACCCTCTATGCTGTTGGCGCATATGACTGTCATAATTTGGGCTTTTGCTTCTCAGGGTGGCACTGGACCACCCAGCGTTGTGGATGCTGGTGGTATGTCCCCTACTGCCACCGCTCGGCCTGGAGCAGGGTAGACACAGGGTTTTTGTCTGCACTGCTCGGGGAACTTGCCAGCGTCCGTGGGACCGTAGCAAAATGGAGCAACAAAACTAGTGAAGGGTTTAGAGAACTTGTCCTGTGAGGAGCGGCTGAGGGAGCTGGGACTGGTCAGTCTGGAGAAGAGGAGGCTCAGGGGGACCTTATCGCTCTCTACAATTACCTGAAAGGAAGTTGTAGGGAGATGGGGGTCGGTCTCTTCTCCCATGTTATGAATGACAGGACAAGAGGGAATGGCCTCAAGTTGCACCAGGGAAAATTTAGGTTAGATATCAGGAAAAATTTCTTTCCAGAGAGGGTTGTGAAGTATTGGAACAGGCTGCCAGGGAGGTGGTGGAGTCCCCATCCCTGGAGGTGTTTAAAAACCGTGTGGATTTGGTGTTGAGGAACATGGTTTAGGGACCCTGACAGTGCAGGGTGAACAGTTGGACTCGATGATCTTGAAGGTCTCTTCCAACCAGATGATTCTATGATTCTATGATTTAGATCTTCACCTCAAGCCCTTCACCTCTGCCTTGAATTCGTCTCACCTAATTTTAGATGCTTGCAATCCACGTGTCTGTTCCTTGGGCAGCCACTATGATCTCCTTTAATACTTGGAGCAATTCACCTGGCCTGTGTTAGCTGTTGACTTGGATGAGCCAAATGCCACAGCCCGTCCCCTCCACTGCCTGGAGGGCAGCCCAGGGCGACTCGCTCAGCCGTGGACATGCTGCTTCCAGGGAGGTGACCAGCACCGGGATGGAACTTGGAGAAGACGGGAAGCTGCAGAGGTGGTGCGTTCGGTGTAGACTTGCTTCTGCTTGGTGAGCTCTGGAAGCTCATTCATTCCATAAGAAGAGCGAGAGCGGTGAGGACAGGAATCACCAGCGTGACGATGGAGGAGAGTGTCCTGGTAGAGAACTTTGGAAGAGTGTTGTGCTGCGTATAGGATGTTTTCACTGCGTGGGGATGCAGAGCTGTCCTCATGGGCGCTGCAGATGCGGTGTTAGTCTGAAATCCCGAACATCGGTGGCCGG